CTGCAGGCGGAGGTGGAGCAGAAGAAGAAACGAACCTTCCGGAAATTCACCTACAGAGGGGTGGACCTGGACCAGCTCCTCGACATGTCCTAGTAAGAGCTGTCAGCAGGGCGGGGGGCCGGGGGCTGCTCCTGGCACCCTTTGCTCGGGCTGCGTTAAAACCACTGCGACACTCGGGCTGTGTTAAAACAACTGCGACAACCGGTTATTTTTGGGTGGTTCTGAGGTTTCTTGAAGCCCCCGAGTGGGGAACGCTGCCGGTGAGGGGTCTCCAGGCTGGGTCTCTCCATCCCTTCCAGCGAGCAGCTGATGCAGCTGTACAGCGCCCGGCAGCGCCGGCGCCTCAACCGGGGGCTGCGCCGCAAGCAGCACTCCCTGCTGAAGCGCCTGCGCAAGGCCAAGAAGGAGGCGCCGCCCATGGAGAAGCCAGAGGTGGTGAAGACCCACTTGCGGGACATGATCATCCTCCCCGAGATGGTGGGCAGCATGGTCGGCGTCTACAACGGCAAAACCTTCAACCAGGTGGAGATCAAGGTGAGGAGTCGCGGCAGCATCCCGAGAGCTCGGTCCTGATCCACGCTGAGCGTCCCGAATGCGTCTGCGTTGATTTGTTAACACCTTGGGTAATCCTGCTCCTGCCCCGTGTCCGAGGGGGAGGTCGAGGCTCCTGCTCGGAGCAAAGCTGGCCCTGAGGGACCCCTGAAAGTGTCCATCCTGAGGACGGGCTGCTCACAGAGGGTTTCGAGGCCTCACGAGGCTTCACTGTGGCTTTGAAATAATGTGGCTGTTGTGAGCGTGCGTGTGCTGCCTGCGCTGGCTGCGCTCGGCCCTGGCTCGCTGCCCGGTGGCACCGGTTTCCGATGAAACAGATCCGTGAGGTTTCCTGGGAGTGGGATAACCTGCAGCGGTGGGGAGCGGGGTGGTGCGACCCGATACCGCTGGCAGGATTAAATGGCGTTTCCTGCTCGTACCTGGCATTAAAGCCAACCTGAAAGTGCACCAAAAAGCCCCCGAGATTTGCCTGTCCCCTCTCCCGGGAGGCGCAGTGCTGGCCGGGGGCTCTTGGGGGGCAGAGGGAGGGTCGCTGCCTCCAACGTGGATCTCTCCTTCCTCTTCCAGCCCGAAATGATCGGTCACTACCTGGGGGAATTCTCCATCACTTACAAGCCGGTGAAGCACGGCCGGCCTGGCATCGGTGCCACCCACTCCTCCAGGTTCATTCCTCTGAAGTAACGAAGCGCTGCGGGGAGCCTTTTCCACGTGTAAATAAAGACGTTTCTCCCAGCTGTCTCCCTCCCTCCTGGCCTTGCGGCTCCCAGGGCTGCGGGCTCCCATCGGGACGGTGTGGGCTGGGGCACAGGCGAGCAAAACTCTTCAGTCTTAATCGTGATTTGATGTTTTCCTGAAGATTTCCCTTTTTTTTTTAGCACTCCTTTTTGGTAAACACACGCAGCAAACACTTCTCTTCACGTGGGTTTCTTACATGAATGAAATTCCTTGTGCTTTGTTGGGAAGTGGTTAATGGCACTTCCGTCTGTTTAACTTCAGTTGCGGCATTTCAAGCGCTGCTTGGATCGCCCTGGGAACGCGGGGAAGCGCGCGCTAGCCGCTTGCTGCGTGAGGTGAAGCGAATTGAGGGCTGGGTGGGTTCCCGCTGCTTCAGAACCAGCCTCTCTCCCGGGGGGGAAGCTGCCAGGGACGCTGAGATCCCAAACAATTACTTTCTCATCTTAAATTCGGGATTCCGAAGGCTTTTGGCGGGACCTCGGCTCAGTGCAGCGGTGGCTGGGGGGTTGGTGGGTGAGCTGGTGGTTCGCAGCTTGGGCTGAGCGGGAGGAACGTTTCCCTTCACAGCTCCAGGGAAGAAGCTGCTCTTCAGGATGAGGTGGATGATCCCAGGTGGATGATCTCAGGTGGATGATCCGGTCTGGCCCGGGAGCTGCCCCGGGGCCTGGGCCAAGCCTAAGGAAACCCGGCAGTGCCTGGCGCCGGAGCTGAGAGCCACTGTCAGCGCAGGGGGGGGATGGCGACGGCTGCGCCGGGT